CGGGAAGACGGGGAGCAGCTTTTCTCACCCCGGAGTACACGGGCGGCGGGACCGCGAGGTCCCACAGTCCGTGTCCTCCGGGGCGAGAAAAGCCCCATTCGTACCTGCAAGTCGGGGACTGCCTGTATACCCGGCGTATAAGACGACCCCCGATTTTTGGGGGATGTTTTTTAGCATAAAAAGTCATCTTATACGCCGGAAAATACGGTATTAAAGTGCCTATGTGAACTAGGGATGTAAAATCCAGGTTAATCAGTTTACTGGTTAAACGTCAGACTGACCTAACGTTTAACCAGTTAACCAACTAAGCAGGATCTGGGGTAGGGAACACTCCAGCCTGGCTCGAGCAGCCCCCAATCCGCTGGGCTCCTGCCCCAGCCCCACACTGGGGCTGGGGCTGCCACTGGGTCCATGGCAGGCCTGGGCTTCCTGCGAACAGAGCTGCTCCATGAGAGCAGCCCCTGCCTGTGGATGTGCTGCTCCATCCCCCAATGATTACGGGGGGGGGAGGGGGGGAGACTGGTAAGCATTACCTAGGGGTGATTCTTACCGGTTAACCTTTCACATTCCTAATGTGAACACTGGGGAAATAAAAAACAAAACAAAACAAAAACTACCCAAAGAATATAAAGCTTTACTTTGACAGAGTCAATAAAACAGTTTACAAATAATACTTTGTGTTCTTCACACCCCATGAATCAGCATGTGATCCAATATTTGTCACCATCTGTCAATCTTTGATTATTTGAAATGTTGTTATACTGACAAAGAAAGTGATACTGGCAAGATCTTATAGTTAAGGGTAACAATTTTATTAAATACCTTATAACATAGAACACATTCTAAACAGACAAACAATACAGTAGATCTGATGATCAAAGATCATTTTTAAATAAGATTGTAGCCTCCTCTAAAGAAGACATGAACAATATTCAGTAACTATTAACTTCAAACCAATTTTTCTATTGTAGCAGCTAAGAAAAACGGGTTCTATTTTTTATATGTAGAAACAGACCTTTATTAAATATATACTACTCAAAAGCCTTTAGCTTTTTGGCTTCATGATGGTTTGTATTTTTTCCCCCATCTCTGAGGCCTTATCAGTGAACAATGACTACTAATGCATGACAGGGCACAATATTAACATACTCCCCATTAGAAGCATCCCTCTCCTTCCCCTGTATCATGCCCTTATGGTCTCCTTTTGCCTAAGGCAGTACTCAACTCCCCTCAAGACAGTTAATGCACACCCCAAATAACCATTACAGGCTGCCATATTTTTGCTTTGGTATCTCATTCTGATCCATTCTCTGGAGTTCTAAGTATTTACCTTTTGCATTTTTTTCCTATTTCTTGTAATCCAGGGAGTGAAAGATAAAAGTTCAGTGTGACTGCAGATCATTGTCGTGGTAATAGTCAAACGTTCTATAATAGGGGAAGACTCAGACATTTTAAAATTAAAACAAATACAAATCCACAGGAAGCTGGAATGAATTTAGGAGCTGCTCTTCAATTAAAAAAACATGACCAATAAATGACCTCACTGCACTCACTTCCATGCACTACTGCTTACATTATCAGATATATATTCAGTTTGAAATGACAATCAGGGAAACTCCCCATTTGAGAACTTCAAGTGTTTTTTAACTTCAGGTTTGCTTTTAACCACCCTCCTGCATCCCCCTTACAAAAAGAAAAGCCATCTTTTAGAAATGTTTATATATTTCTAGGTCATGTAAAGCAAAGCAATCAACTATTTTAAAAGTTGCTTATCTTAATTTGTGCTTAACAAAATTGATTATATTGGTACATGAACTTTTGCAGTCACTTAGGGTGTCATGCGCTCAAGCAAACTACCTCTAAGGCTAGATGCAAAAGTGACTGGACGTGCTGCTTTTATCTGGCCAAGGGAGGATATATTTTGCCCTTATATAAGCAGATACAATGCCACGGAAGTCAGTGGAGTTGCACTCACTTACACTAAGGCTTTGCCTCTACATTCCCTTGTGTTAGTAGTAAAACAAAACATGAGTTCAGCACTGACAATTATCTTCAACTGCTGCAAATGGGTAATACTTTAGTTTATCTGGTTCACATTCAGACTACCAGGCTAAGGAAGCTGATTAAATGCTAATAACAAGGCAATTTAATTAGAAAAAGGTTTACTCTTAACTGATTATGAAGAAAAACTGTTATAAATCAGAAGAGTCACTAAAATCCAAAGTTCTCACACTCCATATAGAACTTCCAGTGCTGATCCATTATATGACATGGAAGAAATTCCTCATCATTTATTAATACTATTTCATTTAACTGAAGAAAGCTTATGGAGCTTTTTACAGAATCTGACTGGAAGGATGATTCTGTTGGGGGGAAAAAACAAACATTAAAATAAGATCCAATTATACTTACTATTATTTATATAAGATCATAGGTATAGATGACTCTTTACAGACATATTAACTCTGACAGATCCCCAATCCTAGGATCTTAGACCCTGATCTGCAATTTATAGTAAAGGCACATTGCTGCACTAACAGAGCCCCATTAGCTTCAGTGGGGCTGCACATGGGAGGTAGTAGTGCGACTGTGCACAGTAAATTGCAGGATCAGGCCCAAGGCTCTAATACTAATCACCTGTGTATGTTCAGGATTGGAGCCTTCTTTAAAATGCATAAAGTGAAGAAGATTGGGTACCTGAGGGTAGAAGTTAGTCCTGTGAGTTTTAGTTTGCGTTATTTAAAACATTAGAAATGGCACATTATAAAAATTCAACTATGAAAGATGTAACAAGGCAGAAGCTCAGCAGCAGTATAGAATTTGCTGATCAAATCCAGTAGTCAATGACCTTTGGAGAGTTATATTTTGTTTTATTTATCCTTTCTTAGTTAAAAACATTTGCACGCAATATCACAGCAGCATGTCAGAATATTTTGGATGGGGCTCCTGGATACTAAAACTATCACTGAAGAAATGGCAGCACAGCTGAAAGTAATGGGGAGGGGCAGCACTCAAACTTAACAGCTGCTAACCATAGCAAAGCTGTTACAGCTAACAGTGGCTCTTAGGCAGAGGAAGTGGGTTGGCATGAGAAGAGTGGCGCCAGAATGAAAAGATCAGTGTTCAGGCCCTCTTCAAATGTCCAAGACTCTCTGGTCTTTTCTTAGCAGACAAAAAGGATGTATGCTGGACTTTTGATAGCTCAATATGTTAACGTGATTAAAAAGCCCAATTAAGAGGCATACTAACATGTTAACTGGCTACGTTTTGCCTAGATTCTCCCCAGGCTTCAGATGTGTAAGCCAGCATCTTAATGGGCTTTTCAGTTGTGTTAAGCTACATTGAGCTAACACAAATGAAACACAGCCTTTTTGTCCTTCAATACAGGCCTTCTGACAAAAAACACCTTTACCCCAACCCTGAAAAAATAATGAAAGAAGGATCTTGGATGGTGTGAATAATGGTAAGGCTCCTTTTGATTTCAATGGGACCAAGTTACATTAAAGATTATTCTTCAATATTAGGGAGACAAAGTGGGAGAAGTTATATGTTTTACTGCACCAACTTCTGTTGTGAAAGACAAGCTTCCAAGTTTACATAGAGTTCTCATTCAAAGCTCAAAAGTTTGTCTCTCACCAACAGAAACTGGTCCAATAAAAAAATGGTATCTCACTCACCTTGTCTCTCTAATATCCTGGGACAAATATGACTACAATAGCACTGAATACAATTCTTCAATATGTTCATTTCAGACCACAAGACACAAAAGAACAAAAAGTACTAAGGAACTACAATCTGATGTCTAGCATATTATTCACATACCCTGTACCCCAGGCAAACAAAGACTGTCAGCATCAAATACATTGTTTGTGGTCTTTCAGGAAGTTATTACAATGCTGTTCACACAAAGACCTTTACCAACCAATCTATGAAACAGTAGGCAGTAGCTTTAGAGGGAGCCACTTACCTTTCTAACTGTAAGTAATGTATTTGAAAAATAACTGATAAAAATAGTGGTACTGGATGGAAGTCACAAAGCAGTTTGAAGATCATATTCAGATAGACAGACAGCTGTTAATCCATTACCTCAGAGGTAAAATATTGAAAACAATTTGGAGCTAAGGGCTCTCATTATTATAGAAACATAGTAATAGAAATGTAGCCGTGTTAGTCTGGTGTAGCTGAAACAAAAAACAGGACTATGTAGCACTCCTCAGGAAGTGCATCTGGCCCACGAAAGCTCATCACCTAATAAACCATCTTGTTAGTCTTTAAAGTGCTACATAGTCCTGTATTTTGTTTATAGAAACATATGCGTGGAAGTGATCTCCTGATCATCTTGTCCAGGTAATCCCATTCATTAATATATCAAACTCCCTTTAAAACTACCTTCCATACTTCCTTCCACATCCTAATGACTTAACCAACCAAACAATGGGTACTTAAGAACAATTTGCACCTTCTCTATCAGCTTCATGTAACATGAACACTCTAATTCACTATTTTTTCCCCTTCCTTCTCCCACCCCCACCAACCCCTATTTATTTTTGAACTGGACTTTTAATACTTCATTCATCTGAAGAAGTGGGTTGTACCCATGACATAATACCATCTACACGTTTTGTTAGTCTTTATGGTGCTGCTAGACCATTTGTTGTTTTTTAATTTTTTTACGTTACAGACTAAGTTGGCTACCCCTCTGAAGCATTTTAAAACTAGTTAGATTGCTTGACTACACTACTTCAGTTGGAAGAACTTCTTCTGATGGTTAGAAAACATCTTTTAATTTCCAGCCTAAAGTTATTCATGCCTAGTTTGTATCCATTTTTTTCTTGTGCCTGTGTTTTCTTTTAGCTTAAATAGCACTTCACCTTCCCTAGTGTTTACCACCCAGATGTATTTATTGAAAGCAATCATCTCCCTTCTTAGCCTTTGTTTTGCTAGGCAAAACAAGTCAGCTCTTTTATTCTACTCTTCTAAAATAGCCTCCTCATCATCCCCTGATCATCATAGCAGTTCTTTTCTTCACCTAGAAGTTTGAATTAATCTTTTCTGCACATGGGTGACTAGAATTTGTACACAGCATTCCAGATGAGGTCTTACCAGTGCCTAGTACAATGATATGAATACTTCCCTCTCTCTACTGGAAATACCTCACCTGACTCATTCTAGGATCATTTTTGTGGGGGGTTTTTTTAATGACCATATTATGTTGGTAACTTACAGTCATTCTCTGATTGACTAATACACTCAGGTTCCTCCAGTACAGTTTCTATCTGGTAGACTCCCAATTTATAGTAGAATTATTGATCCAACAGTAGTGAAATTTCCCACTATGAAGCTGATTTTGACCCCTTGAGTACTATTCCATGCTACTCATCCAAGTGGGCACAAAGGATACCGCAAGACAGATCACAAATGATACTCTCGAGTAGATCAAGAGTGACCACAGGGAGTACAGGTGCAGGAGTCTGGAAGCAGGCAGTGTTCTCTTCAGTTCTTCTGGTCAATGGTAGGGGCCCAGATGGGGCATTCTGGAGGTAGATGCCTAGCTGCAAAAATGGTGTCCCCAAGAGGGCTTTGGCTTCCTTGACAACAGTATGCTGTTCCAAGAAGGACTGCACAGGGAATGAGGAGGCCTTATATATTAAAAATGTATACACTTGGACTGAAGTGGAGATGGACATAGGAGACAGATTTGTTGAGAATATCAGGGTTAGGTTAAAGGGGTAAAAAAAAACCCTCGTAACTGTGTTTCTTCGAGATGTGTTCCAGTTAGGTGTGCACATGCTGCGTGCACAGATTCCGAAGCTTTTCCCCTTAGCAGTATCCGTTGGGCCAGCCAGGGAGCCTCCTGGAGTGGCGCCAGCATATCAGCACATATATACCGCTAGAAGCCCTCCACCCCCTCAGTTCCTTCTTGCTGGAGTCTTCTGACAAAGCAGAGGTGGGTGGGATGTGGAATGGACATGAGCAACACATCTCGAAGAACAACAGTTACGAGGTAAGTAACTAGTAATAGAGAGGTAGCCGTGTTAGTTTGATCTTGCTAAAACAAAAGGAAAAACTATGTAGCTCTTTAAAGACTAACAAGATGGTTTAATAGGTGACACGCTTTCATGGGCCAGACCCATGAAAGAGGTAAATAACTGTTTTTTCTTCTTCATGAGTGCTTGCTCATGTCCATTCCAGTTAGGTGACTCCCTAGCAATACCACCGGAGGTGGGATTGGAAGCCTATTCTACAACTGCAACACAGCCCTACCAAAGGCTGCATCATCCCTAGCCTGCTGCGCAATGGAATAATGGGTTGTAAATGCATGAATGTAGGACCATGTTGCTGCCCTGCAGATCTCAAGAATTGGCAACTGTGCGACGAACGCTGTCGATGAGGCCTGCACCCTTGTGGAGTGGGCCGTAAGCAGGGGTGCCAATTCCGCAAGCTCATAACAGGTCCTGACACAGGAGGTCATCCACGTGGACAAGCATTGGGTTGACACTGGGAGACCCCCCCCATTCTTTCTGCTATAGAAATAAAGAGTTGTGGTGACCTCCTAACCTCTCTTGTCCTATTGATGTGGAAGGCTAGGGCCTTCCTCACGTCTAGAGAATGCAGGGACTGCTCTCTCTGTGTTGAGTGGCACTTGAGGAAGAAAACAGGGAGGTAGATGTCCTGGGACATGTGGAAATGCCATACAATTTTGGGCAGGAACGACGGGGGGTGGGGTGGGGGGGAGGCCTAACTCTCTCCTTAAAGGAAACTGTATAAGGAGGTTCTGATGTGAGGGTTCTCAGCTCTGACACTCTCCTGGCTGAGGTATGGTCACCAAGAACACTAACTTCCACAAGAGGTTTTTCCAGGGAACAGGTGGCTAAGGGTTCAACGGGGGGCTCATGAGTTTTGTAATGACCATATTAAGGTCCCACATGGTCAAAGGTTGGCACACGTATGGATATAGCCTATTTACGCCCTTGAGGAATCGCTTAATTAGTGCATTTAGAAAAACTAACCTGCCCCCTTCACCCAGGTGGAATGCTATAATGGCAGCTGGGTGGACCCAAAGGGATGAAGTTGATGGGCCTTGCTGCCGAAGGTGAAGGAGATAGTCCAGGATGAGGGGGATAGGGGCCCTCATTGGATCGATCCCTGCCCCATTAAACCACAGTGGAAAGCATTTTCATTTAGCTTTGTAAGTTACCCTCTTAGAGGTGTTTCCTGCTCTCCACAAGGACCCTCCTGACTGCCTTCAAACAGAGTTGTTCTGGCCCAGTTAACCATGAAGTTTCCAGGCCTCCAGGTAGAGGGTTGATAAGTTTGGGTGGCATAGACTCCCCTCCCCCAAGTCCTGGGTGATCAGGTCTGGAACCAACGGTAACACGAGGGGCTCCCTCCACCACTAGGTCCAGAAGCATGGGATACCAGTGTTGGCGTGGCCATGCTGGAGCTATCAAGATGACTGATGCTGCATACCTCCTGATTGTCAGGAGGACCTTGTACAGTAGAGGGAAGGGAAGGAATGTGCAGAGAAGGTGGGAGGGCTACTGAACCAGTGACCATTTCCCCTGCCCCAGATACAAGCAGTAGCTCGAGCACTTGCCGTTTTCCTGGGAAGTGAAAGGTCGAGAAGGGGATAACCCCACCTCTGGAAGACGACATCCAAGATGTCCGTCCTGATGGACCATTCGTGGGCGCTGAACTACCTGATGAGCCTGTCTGCTAAGAAGCTGCAGTGCCCTGGAAGGTGGGATGCTTTCAGGTGAATCCCATGCACAATAAACAGGTCCCATAGATGGGAGGCTTCCGTGCATAGGGAGAAGAATGAGCCTTACCCTGTTTGTTGATATAGTGCATGGCTATAGTGTTGTCCGTCAGCACAGATACTACCTTGTCCTTCAGGTGGGGTAGAAATGCCAGGCAGGCCAGCCTGACAGCTCTGAGCTCTTTGACGTTTATATGGAAAGAGCCCTTGTTGGGAGACCTCATACCTTGAGTTCTGAGGTTTGACAGGTGAGTTCTCCAACCTGTGTCCGATGCATCGGCTACCCGCTGCACTGACTGGGTCCATTTGGCAAACAGGACGTCATGACACATGATCTGTTCCTGTAGACACCAATCTAGTGACCAGAGAACCTCCTCCAGCACTATGACTAGTGCATCCAGAGGTGCTCACGCTGGGTTGTGTCCCATTGCCAGCCATGCCTGAAGGAGTCGAAGCCACAATCTGGCATGTTGTACCACGAAGGTGCAGGCTGCCTGGTGGCCTAGCAGCCTCATGCATGTATGTGCCATTGTAAGGTTCGAGGCTCAGAGGCACTCTATTATCATCCTGATGGTAAAAACATGGCTTTGGGGAAGGACGCCCTTGCCATTACAGAATCCAGCTGAGCCCCAACAAAGTCTATAGTCTGGGTCGGGTTGAGTGTGGACTTCTCCTTGTTAGTAAGGAGACCCAGCTTGCAAAATAATGCCTTGACAAAGTCAATGTGGCTGAGGACCTGGTCCCTGGATGACCCCTTGATTAGCCAGTCATCAGGGTAGGGGAACACCTGGATCCTGTGCCTTCTCCAAAAAGACGGATACAGCAACCATGCACTTGGTTTAAAACCCTTGGTGTTGTGGAGAGGCCGAACAATAGGACTGTGAACTGAAAGTGGTCTTGACCAACTAAGAACCTTAGAAATTTTCTGTGGGCCAGAATTATTGATATGTGGAAATACGCAACCTTCAAATCAAGGGCAGAATACAAGTCTCCTTTCTCTAGGGAGGGAATGATTGAGGTGAGGATGACCATCCTGAACCTTGTGTTCTTTACAAATGAATTTAGCTTCCTTAGGTTCAAAATGGAACAAAGACCCCCTCCCCCACTTGGATTTGGGGATAAGGAAATAGCAAGAGTAAAACACCCTCCCTTCTAACCCCCTTGGAATGGGCTCAACTGCTCCTAAGGTCAGAAGTGCAGATACCTCCTTCTTCAATAGTAGCTCGTGAGAGGGGTCCCTGAAGAGCAACAGAGTGGGGGGGGAGGGCAGCGGCGGGGGG